ATCTCCATGTAGCATTCGTTTGATTGTTTTAATTGATGCACATTGTCACTAGAGTGCTGATTTCTAGCAAAGGACTACATATGTAGGTCCTGTTAGTCGGGGTCCGGGAACATCTCCCCGAAGACGGCGTCGCGCACGCCGCACTCGCCGCGTATCGCAGGACTGCGATGGAAGATTGGAGCGCGCAATTTGTGAGGTAGGGAGACCTTTAATTATTTGAATTGGCTGGCCGTTCCCTTCAATTCTAATGCGGTATTGATCGTCGCTAATATAGGAGGAGTCATTCTAATTAAACAAGTCTAATTTACATAAAAAAANAAAAAAACAAGAAAAAGAGATAAAAAGCGATCAAAAGCAATAAAAAAGAAAGGCAACCAACGAAAAATATTGCGTCATATCGATTGGCGAGGGGCGGGGTTAGTACGGTAATTGCAGTGACATTTGCCGCATGCTGCAAGGGAGAATGCCGCAATCGGGGAAAAGTTCCGTTACTCGTGTTAGATGACACTAACTCAACCCGGTCATGCTTTCCTGATTTCATCGCGATATCACCCTAATACAGCGACAACTGTTACTGAAATGAATCTTATCCTAGAGATATCTCTCAGATAGAATGGAATAGGGGAACTCTGAGCAGATGAAGTTATAGCTCTGGAAGTTTGACAGACATATGGACCAGGGAAGTAGCAGTGATGCCGCCACAGGAAGGGATTCGGTTGATGCATGATTATTTGCCTTTTTTCGAGCAACTTCTATTAAGCGAACATTTCTTACAAATATAGCATAGGCATGTACATGCGTTTATTTTGGAGCTTAATTACCGTCTTATTCTATGACTGCTTCTCCCTCGCTTGACAGACGGTCGATTCCATAAAAGGAAAGTTTGCTGTTTTTGGGACCAATTCAAGCTTTGACGTCACGCACCAAGTCATTCGAATGCTTATAAAATTGGCTCGGTTTTAAATGTTCCAGCGAACGATTGAGGTGGTAGCCCCTAGCCACCTTTGTGGGAGAATATCGAGGATGAAAAAACTGCTCCCATCAGTTGTTGGCAAATAATCGACGAAACGACGTTCAGTGAGAATGTGCAGTCATAGTAAGAGACAGTTCTGTTCTTCATTCCATTTCACTTGAATTGCAGTATGGATGCGATCAAGCTGAGCCAGATAAACGTCACTGTTGACGTCTGCCGTTCCTGTCTGGAATGCACACTGTTGTCGCTTATCATCTTCGTTCCACTAGTAGCAAAAGCCGTTTGCAAAGATTTCTCGTTGGATGATTCAACTTGTGTCCCACCAAGCACGTTGCCTTCTTCATAAGGACATCTTTCGTCTTTCTTTTCGGTGTTAAGCACCCTTTACTCGTTTTCTGACACTTCCGAAGAAAAGTCCCGACCTTTCTCTAGAGATGCGTTACTTCGTTCGTTAGATTGCACCAAATCGGGGAAAAACCAACAGGGCGACCTGTGGGAGACCCATTCAACCAATTTCGACATTTTCTCAGGTTTTTTTTTCATTGAACAGGCAAGCGTTAACTGGTTGACAATACCATTCGGCCGGCGTCCATTTTGTCGCGCTCTTATCCTTTTCCTCTGTTTCCAGAAGTCCCAGATCTTCGAAATCTGACTGTCGACCTCTCCCTATGGCTGATTTTACCTGATACGAAGTGTGCAGACCATTAATGACATTGCCCTGTACTGGGTTGTGCTGCCCTCCATCCTAGTCTGTTGTGGGAAAGTCTAAGTTGCCGAATTTCATTAGGGAGATGAATTTAGCATGCGTCCTTGTAACTTCAGAATGGATGAATGGTTTCTTTGAATAAATCTATTGAAACAGGAATTTTCGCAAGTAAAAGTACACGGCTCAATAAACAGCAGATGATCAAGCAGCAAACCAATATTCCTTGTGACGTAATTTTCCCTTGACCCAATCACTACTCACCTTCTTACAGTGATGGAGTTTCTCTTCAACGTCCTGCCATCGCTTTTCCCTGGCCATTGCTGATATGGCTTAGTAGAACTGGATTTGATACAAGATTTTTGCTGAACAGCAGTTATCTTCGGACTCGTTCGGTTGAGAAAGTGCCATTGTCGACTTATTTGTAAACGAGCTTATTTATGTTGGCATTCTCCAATTCCGAGGTCCTCCAAGACGGTTTGAAGCACTTCACTTGCTTGACTTCGGTGTTGAAAATTTAATGACGTTCCAATACAACAATCCCTCGAATCCAACAGAGCTTGGGATAGCATTTGAAGTGCGCATATCATTCCATACCCTTTGAGAATGTCATGGGTATGAAAGGCATTTACTTCCGCTTGGTTTCATAGATTCTATAGGATCTCTCAATGTATTAGGTTGGAAGGAAAGTCTTGCGACACAGTGAAGGTCTTCTTCAAATCATTTCTGAAATTTTCCAGGTCAATCAACTTTCGGAAATATATTTACCACAGAGGTCAACAAACTTCTATTATCTTTTGGGTGTATCACTAATGCCTTTTATCCAGGAGTGAGAAAGCTGTGACTCAAAGAAGTAATTGACTGCCGTTTTCAGATCACATTAAGTTACGAATTTTTTTCCACAACGGGATGTTCAAGAAGGCGGAGCGCGTGGTAGGTAAAAGGGACAACACTTAGGGAGTACGACTGATGAACAACCCGGAACCAATTCGAATCGTGGAACTTTTGACGCGAGTTTAAAGCGAAATTTCGACGTGCGTTGTCCCCCTGTAGGGACCTGNTTTACAGTTTTGATCGTCCTTCCAACCCCGTTGGCCTAATTTCGGGGTTCATAGGGGTAACCGATAGCTGTGTCCATCTAGTCTGCGTTTAGCAATTCATAGTGGATGGATCCCTTCAACCTCCATCAAATTAAGGGACGATGCTTGCATGACTTCGAAGGCTAGTATCTCCTCCATTGAAGCGATCCAACCGATCGTTGACCGTTGGTCGGTGAGCAGTGCCAGCATTGAATAGGTTGCTGATAATTTGAGCGCTACAACCTCTTTTTTCCCTAGGCGTGCTTAGTAGAAGGTGATGGTACCAATCGGGTGTTGTCCATTCATTGACCGTAATGCTGCTAAAGCCCCCACGCCTGTCCTTATTCACTCATGTGTTGATTATCTGAGGAATGTCCTACAAGTTTTTCACTCTTGCTACGGTGCTCACACTGTTGAAACAAATTGTTGATGCTTCAAATTTTTTGTCGCAGGACATTCCTTCCAACCTAATAGCTTGAGTGCAATGTGCCACCCTGTCACAGCATGGGATCGTATCCCGGATTCATACCCGATACAAGTCAGACAGTTCCTCAATCCCTCTGGGGTTGGCTAATTACTACCAGACTTGTCTGAGACGATAACATCAGTTTTACATCAGCTGGCGCCACAAGAAATTGTAATCCTCATTCAACATTTCCTTACGATTCTGAACGGAAGTCAATGTGGAGGCGCATCTCAGAAGCGGGTTTGTTCAGCGCCAAAGAACTTTGTATGTAATGTATGTACGTATATATGAATGTATCTATGCGTGTATGTATGTATGTATGTACGTTCGTTTGTATGTATGTATTATATGTATGTATGCATGCATGCGGGCGGAGATGGTGGAGTGGCAAGTGGCCCACTATGTCACACGCACGGTCAGGCGTTCGAATCCCAGATCGATATCCGCCCAGGCCAACCAAGCCTTCCGTCCCTTCGGAGTCAGTGAATTGGTACCATCTGGGAGGATAAAAACAGTGACTTGAACATTGACTGACCACCGCAAGTCACTGAATCAGTCACATACTCCTTCAATTCGCCACTACGCTCCTGAATGGAAGTCGAGTGCGAGGGAGCATCCTTCAGATGGGATTGATTTACGCTAAAAGACTTTATTCTTCATGCTTTCATGTAATGGGGCGGATGTAGTGCAATGGCAGATGGCGCACTATCACACACGTATGGTCACGAGTTCGAATCACAGATTACGCCCAAACACTTCATTCTCTTTTATGCATGTATGTATAAGAAAGGATGGAGCATGGCTTCTGGGCATAATCTGGCATCCATATTATACACTTATTAGCAACAATGTGTCGCAGAATATTTGTACTTCTTCCCCACCATAAGCGAAAATAAGTGTTTTTGATGATACTTCAAGAATTCTAAGAACGGTTCCTTTCACGCTCTTGTATTTAGTCCATACCGGTAGGCAAATACCCTACCAACCCACGCAGTTACACTCCGTCTTCAATTTGCATCGAATTTTTTTAGGGCTATTCAAAACTTTGCGTAAATTAACCTGCACTTATCTGTTAATCTCGGGTGGGTGATAGCAGGGAACGAATGATTGCCATGGGAACATCGACTGCACCGAGCGCTTGCAAAAGTGCCGTTGTCACGAGCCCAAAGTCATTTTTCTGGAGAAGAAACATAGAGGGATTACTGTGACAGTTGTAGAACGCATTGGTCAAGATGGCCAGCCAGTGGTGTGCGCTGCGCAACTGTTCCACGGTCCTAAAACCCTCGCGCTGATTCAATCCCGTCGACATCTGCTCACCAGACATTCTTCAGGTCTCCATTGTTTGTTTGCATTTTCTTTCGTACACAGTAGGTAGTGCCTTTGGGAGTTCTGATTAGGTAACATGAAGCTGGGAGGTAGCAAATGACGAAATTCCATCTCTTTTCTCGGCCTACCCAGGCATCTCTGAACAAGACGTCTGTCCAAAACAATTCAAAACATAGGTACGTACTCAAACTGCGGTTCATGAGCTTTTCTGGATCAGTGGCGGATGATTCCTTCTTGTCCAATGCTAGTCCCATTTGCAGTGCTCGATCACTGCCCATCCATTCTAAGCTTTCTGCCACCCGGATGTTTACGTTTATCAGAATCATTTGTCTTCGTCTAGGAGCTTTTCGTAGTTGCATGGCATACATGGTAAATACATGGCTGCGAGATTTTCATGAAAAGCCACCCCGTCGTCGTTTGCCAGGACACCATTGTAACCAAAACGTTCCCACATCACATTTGAGCTATTCGCTCGTGAACCCCACCAATCGACCGTGGACGTGAAATCGTTCGCCGATCGATGCGATGATTCCCACACCATCCCGTGGTGCCCTTCGCTGGGGCTGACGTCACCCCCAACGAATGCAATGTATGCATGATTGGGGAGGTTTTCGCTCTCACATCAGTGCGATATGTGCCCATCGCATTGCCCGTAAGATCAGCCGTCTCATCTTCATCTTCGTGGCTATCGCCAGCATCCATGTGAATCGAACAACAAATACACTGGGAACCAGTTCTGTTTAGCTGATGAGATGGGATATAGGCTTGGAAACATGGGCTGTTGTCGCCCATGTTTGTGACACCCCACCCACGTGAATCCCCACACATCAACCCTTCTGACTTTCGCTTCATGTTCGTTGCAGCAGCAAAAGTGGCGCCTCTGTCGGCTTTGTAGTGGAACTCGTTTGCTGATTGGCCTCGAGTCAGACCCATGCTCGTTTTTCGCCGCTTCAAAACTTCTGCTCTCGCAGCTCCCCTCCGACTCTTAGGAGGATTCTACAACTGACATTGCCCGTTCGTTGTACTGTTGATTTCTTAACGTGCCTTGTGAATATGGAATTTACACCTGACCCATAATTAATTTCACACAAAGGTGCACATTTCTTGATGACAGGCTGTCAATTACGAGTACGCCGGCTGTCAATCGTATCATCGTATTTCACAGTTCACATAGCAATGTGTCATATTTATGTAAAAAGATTTATGAGCTTCCTGTCTTCGTGATATTTCTGCAAGGCTGTTTGGGTGTTTACATCTTGATGTTTCAAAAAGTCCCATCAAAATTAGTATTTTTTTTTGAAAATTTGGTATACTATGGTATGGATTTTTTTTATCATTATTGCCAGTGTGAGATCTGTTTGGTAATTTCTCTATATTCTTCTTTCGAGGTTAGAAGCGCTGGCTTGTACTTCGGCTGGCCACCACGGGCAACATTCTAGGTACATAGGTCCAGCAAGTCGTCGTATAGGCCAAACTCACATTCGAGACCATCCCTGCGATTCTGAATTGAAGTCAAATGCGGGGATGCATTTCAAAGACGCCAAGAACTTTATAATTTTATCTCCATGCTCTGAACTAGGATTGCGATACTTGGCTGGCTCTGGTGTTCGGGACAACCATACTGAGTGAAGCCGTATCTTTGGGTGGAGATCGATATAAGTTTACTTTTAGGACATTGACAAACCTGTAGTCCATATATGGACTATAGTTTTTGCTCGCGTGGGACCATAAAGTCCACTTGTGTGCTACAGTTAATTTTCTTCACTTTGTTTAGTCATATTTACATGTTTTGTCACTTTACTCTCGTCGTGCGCCGCCCTCGAATCTCTTCCCCGTGAACACAATTGTCCACAAAGTACTAAACAGAGAGGTTCGTCACTTTGTTAATCAAAGTGGTATGCCATAGGGTTGAGCATCTAGGCACCAAATAGTGAGCTCTTACTGACTTCATTGTTTACAGCGTATTTTTCATTTTTTTTTGTTTAAGCCTTCGTTAGTGATGCCGTCCCTTCATAATACGACAGAGTTTTCTCAGTGTTTGACATCGAACGGGATTCGAACCCGCGTTTGAACCATGCTATAGGTATTACTCTGGATTACTTGCAAAAATATACCATTAACATGGTAACCTCGTAGGCTCGCGAAATACTTTTATATAAAGTGGAATGGGTAGGAAATAGTCCGGAATGCCTAGGGACTGCCAAAGTAAACGTTTCACGAACTGCATTGCCTGCTTGTGATATCATTGAGTAGTGTTGCAATATTGATCGGCACATGTTCTCGAACTCGAAGATTTCATGAAGTCGTCCCTCGACGTGCTTCAATTGACGGCAATTACCTCAATATGTATCCCACCCCGTGTGAAATTCGAGATAATGACGCCTCATTTCATGCCTCTTCGCGTTGCTTCTTCGTCATTTTTATTATTATTTGTTCACCTTCATGTCTTCACAATTCAAAGTTTCTACTGAGCATTCTTTCCCGCGCTTTTTCTCAGTTAGAAGCCGGTGGGTCCATTTTCTGTTGTCCCATCTGAAGGCCCAGTTGTATATGAACGGTTTTGACTTGATGTTTTGTTGACAGCTGCTAGTACGCGATCCGAAAGTTTCCCAAGGTTGGCGATTAACTTCAGTCAAAACTTCAGTCTCGGACGGGACTCGAACCCGTACTTGTCCTTTTCGGGCACCGAGCTCTATCCCTAACACTACCGAGACCCCGCTTGCCTTCGCCTTCTTAACTGTCTTTCTCTACATACCGGATACTACTAAATACTAGGTCTCCTATTACTCATTTGTTTGGCCCGATACCATTCTGATAGGTCTTATGCCTTATTGTTAGCAGGAATACTGGTTGGCCTGGCACATCAGCTTTCAGTGGCCGAATGCTCATTCAAGTTTAGTGACAAGTGGCGCACTATCACACACGCATGGTCATGGGTTCGAATCCTAAATCAGTGTCCGCCTAGGCCAACCAAGCCTACCTTCATTGTGTGTTTGGTTGAATGGTGCCAGATCCGTCTGGGAGGATAAAAGCATTCCGTTGGCCACAGAAAGGCATGGTGTAGTCCAGAAAAACGCACCATGATCCCTAATGGAAGTCGTAAACGGGGCGCATCCCAAAAAGCGAGATTTATTGTATTGACACAAGAAGACTTATTCGTTCGCCTCAAAAAGGAGTATCTCAATAGATGGGCCATTTGAATAATATCGTGTGCACGTACAAGAACTTGCCCTGTTCGCCCTCATAAAGTTCTTTTGCTCTCCGAATGATGGCTCAGGGACCGGCCCTACATCAGATCTGTTCCCAGACGTTTCGCACATTTTCTTCTCCATTTTCCAGGTTAGGGTTATCATCTGTGGCCGTATTAGTTGAATTGGCAGCTTTGCTGTCGCTGTGGATGTGGGAAAATTTTCCAGCTTTCCGCTTATCAAAGTTTTTTATTTCGTCTCCCTGAGCCCTGAGAGGCCTTTTAATGTCAAACATTCCGTTAGAATGAGAAATCTCACAGAACCCGAGCATCTGAAACATATGGTAGCTCTGGCAGGAATGTGCATATTTACAAAGCAAAATGGCTGACATGATGCCTGACTCCCCGGCAGCCGATGCATGACGATGTCCTCCTTGTCGGTCTCAAGGTTCCCCCTACAGCTGAACTTTGTTATATCGATTGATCTCCAATTTGGACCCGTTATCTAGCGCCTGAAGTGGGCTCAGGTCGGTATTCTTGAAGCTGCCGCTTTGTTTTGCTGATCGAATAATTTGGAAATGATTACAAGACCTCTTCCTTCAACTTTTTACATCCTCTTGCCGCTCTATATGCTTCTTTTAAACGCCCTATGAGTATGATATTGCCGCCCTAGCTGTTTTATTCGAATGAACTCGGCGCTCTTTATTCATGATGAACAGGTGATCAATCAATGCCAGTTTTTAATTTTGATCAGGAATCGAATGCATGTCGCACTCCGACAGCCTTTTCAATGTCGAACACTAACTCCTACCTCTCACTCGAATCCTTTCGATGCTGGACTTCATAAAGAATGCATGAAGCTTGCTTTGTTTCTTGGTAGGCATGCATTTGCACTACATACTCAACATCAGATATGACCTGTCAGTTTAAGTGGGAGCCCAGTACCCACCCAGTCAGATGGGTTCCAGAATTCTCCTCGGATGCATTGAATGGTTGATTTTTAACTTCTATTCACTGCATGAACGCCCATTTTCATATGTTTTTCTTACAAACGTGAAGGGTTTGACTGATGATTCCCCACCTGATGACCGTCTNCTACCTCTCACTCGAATCCTTTCGATGCTGGACTTCATAAAGAATGCATGAAAGCTTGCTTTGTAGGCATGCATTTGCACTACTCAACATCAGATATGACCTGTCAGTTTAAGTGGGAGCCCAGTGCCCAGTTAGTTGGGTTCCAGAATGTTCCTCGAATGCATTGAATGGTTGATTTCTCACATCTATTCACTGCATTGAACGCCCATTTTCATATGTTTTTCTTACAAACGTGAAGGGTTTGACTGATGATTCCCCACCTGATGACCGTCTGGTCCTTTATTTTCACCCTCAGCTGTTGATTCTCATTGCCATAATCCTCGACCTCCTTGTTTTTGTCCAATCAGTCGATTGATCGTTCTGTGTTTCATCGATGAGGGGATAAATATTCGTTCAATTAGTAAGATTAGGAAGGTAAAACATGATCACTCGGACTTTGTTGGGCGTGTTGAATTTTTATTTTTGATGTAGGCGAGTTTGATTTGATCTGAACGGCTTTGTTCGTTGTTCGGGAAACCTCGGGATGAAAATGAAAGGCAAATTCGTTTGCTAGTAGTTACTATATCATTCAACTCCTGGATCCCTATTGTGAAACCTACCAGTATGGGGCATTGGAAGTGCAATTTTTGAGCAGAACTCTATGTGTGCTCACGTAAAAGTTTCCAATAATTGTCTGTAAGTCTGTAAGCAACGTATTTTTTAGATATTATCAAAGGCCATTAGAATTTTGATAATTCAGTTTCATTCTGGTTGTTGCAATGGACAAACATACCCTACCTTGCTTTGTTGGGAAGCTGAGGTTCATCCTTCGGTGGTCAGCAGGTAGAGTAGAGTAGATAGCAGGATGTAAGTGTAGACTGAGCAGAAGTATTTCGATACTGGAGATGTTTGATGACAATTATTCTTAGGAGGGGTCCACACTACGAGCTGATGGAAGGGGGGGGGGGAGAGGAAGGAAATTCTTGGAAATCACGCTGTCTTTGGATGCAGTTAGTGGCGCAACGGAAGGGTCAGCTTCCCCAGTGGGTGCCCTAATTTCATCCGATGCCACTAAATATTGATGCCATCGCACAGCTTGTTCTGAGTGGGCCAAGAGCATGTATTCCTATGTTTGCCGGATTGCCAGGAACGCCATGAGTAAGTGAAAATTGAGGTGAAATTCGGTGATTCCCTATGCCTCAAGGAACCATCCCTCATGGGGAAGTTTTAAGCAGTCGAAAAATGGGAGCTGAGGCTCTAGGTATTTCAATTGCTTTTGCAGCGAAAGAATCGATCGCGATTTCATTCTGTGGCCTGTTGATATACGATATTCCCTTCGTGAGATCACCACTGTAACTGCTGTCACCTTTGCATCACCCACGCAGATCCGGTTCCCCACGACTCACCCAGGGCGTTTCCATTTTCGTTACAATCACTGCTTTCGCTACAAGTGATACATTCGGTAATTTTGTTCTCTGTTCCGTTCTGTCACAATCCTATTCACTCAGGCGGAAATTTCTGGCTGGCCAACCCGTTTCGGGGTGCTCTCTGCGTGGCCTTCTCCCTTTCGCCGCCATTTCAACGTCATCCCATCCTCGTCGTCGTTGTCAATTCGCTCACTCATCTATATTGCATCGTGCACTCAACGCACCTTTTCTACGCATATTTATTC